CAAAAGGTGGTGGTCCCACAGATCTGCTGTGACTGAGCTTAGGCTGGCTGCCCCAGACATTATGGCATGGGCTGAAGTGCTGAATTCATTCAGGTTGTCTTAGCACCTGGACTTAGCTATTCCCACAGCCTGGTTCACCACAGTATCCATGGGACTGAAAACTCGGCACTGGCTTGCCCAGTCTCCTGGTTGACCCACCACTTTTTGCCTTAGACCAGACCAACACAGAGCAGCTCTTACAGGACACCACTCACGTAGGCACAAGCAGAACAGCAGTTTCAAGATGTTGAGTGTTTTAATGAGGTAACTTTTATCTGAGCTTGAGGCCTGGGGTAACCCCCAAAGGAACCTGTAAAGACAGAGTCCACACAGAATAAAGGACAAGGATGGACAGAAGCGACAAATCAGAAGGAAGAAACGGAAACACTCAGAGCGAGTAAGCACAGTCCTCAGAAGTGGGCATTCTGCCCTGATGAGTTAAAAGATTTCAGATTGTCCCTTATCTCTTTCTGATGAAAGCTCAAGTAAGTGATTACAGAACAAGCATGAAAATAAGCTGAATAGCTAATTTTCTAATTTTTAGTAGGGAACGTAGCTGTTCAGACGCCATAGTGGGACTATTTCTCATTGCCACCATTAAGGATGTGAAAGAAATAATTAAGATGATTGCAGGGGAGGGAAGAGGAGTTAAGGAATATCCTCTTATTAGCTATATTAGAACAAACCAGGAGCAAACTACAAGCCAAAGGCTCCAAGGTTAGCTTACAAATCCAGCAAGAGTTTAAGCTGGGTGCAAGATAATCCACTGGGGATGAAAAAATTCCAATGCATTAAGAGAAGGAAAAACAAGAATCAAAATAATTGAGGTTCCTGAGGAAGATAATGCTGTCTCTGGTGCCACAGAAGTCAATTAGATAGTTTTCAGCTAGTGATGGACCAATCTCCTGGGTTATGAAAAAAACCAAAACTAAACAAAATCTCACAGGACGCAGGCAAGAGCAGAGATACTGTTTTTGTTCCTCCTCACTTTCTGGCACCTTTGTCCATGTTGGGGAAAAAAACCAAACAACAAAACCAAAATGTTATTAGACAAACCAATTAAAATGTTTTTCAAGAGACAACAGCAGCATACAAAATACCTCCTCATGAGAAACATGATTAAGTCAATGAAACTTTTTATGCCATCACATTAGAAAAACAGCAGAAGTGCAGTAACAGAGAAGTGAAGAATGAGTTTCACCCAAAGGAAAGCTTGGCAGCAGGAGCTTTTCTGGATTATTTTAGTTGAGTGTATGCATCCATGTCACACCATCACTTCTTACTTAAAAACAGCTGCAGAAGGCTCCTGCTGCGGCCGCTGAAGCTCTGATTTTCCTGTCTTGATACAAGTCATCAAGTCGCATTTCCTGCTGGAATTAAAGTGGCAGCCCCTAGGGACTATGCAGCTGCCCAATTTATAATCAGAGAGCATCTGAAACAAGCACCAGTATTTTTTCTGACTGCTTAATTTTTATTTTATTTTTTTTTTATAACCCCCCAACTCTTTTAAGATTTTTCTCCTTCTCCACTTACCAGGCATGTGTATTTTAAAACAGTTAAAAGAAAACACAGACATTTCAATGCCTGTGCACAACAGCTAGAGGCAGGAAAAATGTGTGGGTAAACTCACTGGCATCAAAGCAAACCATGCCTGTAGCATAGAACTGAGCTGAGAGATCAAAAAGCTTCAAGGATATTAGTTATAGCACCATAAGTAGTTAGCTGGTACAGATGGTATACAAATACTATGAAGGGCATTTATAAAACAACAAAAGCTGCAGATGATGGCAAAAACATATTTTGGGTCAGAGTCAAAAGAGGAGAGCAATAGGCAAACTGTCCTGGCCAAGTGCTCAAACCACTCTGGTGCCAGGCAAGGACAGCTACAGGGTCATTGCTAAAGATGCTTCAAGTAAAAAGATGCAGACTACTGTCTTTTTTTGTTCTGTGCTTCTACAGTGCTTAACACAGCAAGAACCAGGTCTGTAAAGAGTGTTCCTAACAGCTATGATAGGTTACGATAAATAAGAGTTTGGAGAAGATCATGTGGCATCTCATTAAGTAGTCTCTGTAGTTAAACACAGATATCCGTAACTCAAAGAAAGTCTTATGTTACCAGACATTCAACACTCTTTAACCATCAAGAAGGGTAAAAACCAGCCTCTTTCTTTCATGCGATTCCTTTTTTTAAGAAAATGTCTGTCATAAAGAATATCAAAACCAAGGCAAGGTTGCTCTACTTCAAAGCCAAGAATCACAGAACACTATAAAAGTATTAATCTCATCTTTTTCCCAAAGGATAAAAAGCCAATCAAACTAGAGTACATTAAATTGAGCATTAGAAGGGTCCTCAGCTAGGTTCCACTTCCAAAATTACTCGAGAGTGCATTATAATTAGCAAAGGTATGTGACAGTTTTATACGCCTCTATGATGCGTGATTAAAGCCAGGCAGCCCCGCTCCGCCGCAAGTTCTGCCTGCCGTCAAAACAGATGTGGCAAGAACTACAAGCTGCTCCCAGGCTGTGAGAAAGCATAGGCAGATAACATTTTGGCCATCAAAGAGGTTAAAACATGATACAAAACTAATTAAACCTCAAAACCCCTTGGAGAGGGAGGTAAACTGTGTTTTATATGAGGTTACATGGAGCATCTTGTGCTTGAACTGCAGTGTTCCAGCCCTAGAACATGGATGAGAACAAGATCCTACCTCCTCCTCCTCCGAGGTGCAACAGGGGGCAAAGTTTACAGCCTAAAGATTAGCAGCTCACAGCCTCGGCATGAGGATATGGAGCACAAGTGACTGGAGAAATAGCTGCTGTAATGCCACTGTGATGATCTGTGAAACTTCTGATTTTTCCCATGCGAGACAGAGACCTGCGATCTGTCTGCAACAGCAAAATACAGAGTCCTGGCCCACTGTGAAAAGCCAAATCTGAATTCTATATAAATTCTGCCTCTTACATTTGCACATCTTTGTCCACTGAGCACTCAAAAAAACAATTAGAGGCTCAACTCCTTACCATTAACTGGGGATAAACTAGGTACAGTAGGGAAGCCATGCATCAGTCAAGGCCTGTATTGCTTGTAATCTGGTTAGAAGGAACAAAGGTGTTGTAAATACATGGGTAAGGAACTAGAATTTTTAGCTTTAAAAAAATGCATTCATTTTGGAGAAATATTCCATGGCTGGTTTGTAGACATGAAACAAACAGTGGGGCAAGTCTGTTTACAAGAGGCATATCCAAGACAATTTTTATTCTAATTTATCTACTGTTTTCCATATTGAGACTACATCTTAATGCTTCTTCCTTCATGACATTCCTCTGCTTACAGCACCTTTCCCCCGATTTTCAGGTAGCCCCCCGCTGCTTCCTCTGCATTGTTTCACAACCCACCTCCCTAACATCCCAGTGGCTACTGACAGTTTTCCCGACAGATCTCTTCAGCCATTTCCACTGTGCTGCTCCTGTTGCACTCTCTCTCCCACCTCCTCTGCAAAAATGACTTTTCTCATTATTCCCCTGCCCATAAGGCAGTCCCCTTCCACAGGAGGTGCTGTAGAAAGAGTGCAGCTGGTTTCTCCTTTACGTACCTCATGCCTTCCCTAGCACAACCTCTGGAGTGAGGTGTAAGGTCTCACGACTTCACTGTGTGACTTCACACTCCTCCATTTCCTACGGCGCTTCTCATCCATGGACAGACACACAGCAACAGCTACACAGGTATCTCCCTATGCTGCATAGCTTTTCCATCCCAGAGTTAACCAAAGCTGCACTTACACCAACATAAAGTGGGACCTACATGACATACAGAATAACTAAACGTTGCTGAACTGCTGGGTGCCTCATGTGATTGTGCATGAGTGTATATACATATGTACATGTTTTACTTTCCCCAGACAACATGCCAATGCCCAAAAACTCACCTGTGACTTTGGAATTTTGTTAAAGTAGTTGAGACGATGGAGGCAATTAAGCAGTGCAATTGCTAAGTGACACTTGTTAGATCTGAAGAGTTTAGGAGAACTGGCAATGCTGAATTTATTAAATTTATGAAAGACAAATCTTCCACTGCTTCTACAAGGATGAGCTGGTCAAGGTGGAAAAAACACTTAAACCACTACTTTCTGGTGTTTCTGGTATGAAGATATAAACTTTCTGCATGTATATAAGCAAGATTATATTGCTCTGTGGCTATTTTGATGAAGGAGGTATTGGTGATTGCAGTCCCTTTACAATCAAGCGTTTAATCACATTAGAGTAAGGTAGAGTTAGGTTAATGGTTGGTAGAGTTAGGTTATGGTTGGACTCAATGATCTTAAAGGTCTTTTTCAACCAGAATGACACTGTAATTCTGTAATTTCATGTAGAGACAGTAAATGCAGTGCAGCTGCCTGGTTCAGGTCCCAATATCCACTTGAGCTGAACGTCAACCCAGCAGCTCAAGAAAGCCTACCTCATTGGCAGAGATATATAGATATACACTCATACACTATACAAATTTCATTGAACAAGATCAGTTAATTAGAAATAGAGCTTTCAATGCAAGCACCTATGGTTGCACCAGTGCACCAGCCCTAAAGCTCTGCACAAGAGGGGAATCTTGGGGAGCAGGATCACTTAACACTTCTAAGCAACTGCAAATGTTGCCAAGCTGTCTTTGTCTCCACAGTTATGCTTTGCTACCAACAGGACTCCCAGCAGACCAAAGAAAACACACTGCAACAAGCCTTCATCATCACTGGGAGCACATTTCACTGCCTGAGTGATCCTCCAAAAAATTATATTCTACAGAAGTCTCAGCTACTTTGGTGGACACTAACAAAGTGAAGCACCTGGCCTGATTGCTGGTGGCTGCTGATCACTGCCATCTCATGACTCTAAAACCGTGAAACCTCCTCGAGACTGTGTTAATTAGCTCCCCTTGCAAAGTGCTTAAGCCATAGAGTGAGGTTACTCACGTGATGTCTCTGCGCTGATAACAACCTTGGAGAAGGCAGGCGATCAGGTCGCTGATAAACTCCACATCATCTCTGTGAAGAGCAGCTTCCAGTTCCTAATGAGCAGAAAAGAGAGGGGAAAAAAAAACAAAAAATCCAACCATCAAACTAATTCCTTAAAATGTACTGCTGGCTGCTCAGGACCAGAAAGACCCAAGCAGCCACAAGTGAGTGCACAGCAGCAGAGCCTACACTGGGTACACCGACCTTTCCCATCATTAAAAATACTGCTACTACTACCCCTTCGTTACAGCAGTTTATGGAAAGACCTTGAAAGGCTTTTACTGAATGTCAGTCTTCAGCCAGGAGACCAATGCTTGTGTCTGGAAATGGAGAAATTGGGTCCAGTGAGGTTGAGATACTACAGCCTAATAACAAACCCATGATTTCTTCCACGTTCGACTGATGGGCTGGAATCAACAGTTTTCTTCTCCCACTTTGCTTTCCACTCACTAAGGCTGGTGAGTTAATTTAAAAGATGTGCTCAGAAAGCATGACCCTAAAAGTCACTCATACAGAGAAGTAGCAGTTTCAGATGGATAGCCAGAATTGGCTGAAAGCTAGAGAGCAAATGCCTCAAAGAAAAGCAGGAATTTGATTATTTAACTTACTTCTCATCGTGTTTTTTGGTGGTGGTTTGTTTGTTTGTTTGTTTGTTTCCCCCCCCCACTCCAGTAAGAGAGAAAGAAAGGAGAGAGGGCTGTCAGATCTCATGACCCAAAACCTCAAGCCTTGATGGAGGGCTGGAGAGTATCGTGGCTTATTTCAGCAGGGTGGAGTTCACATAGAGATGTGATGCAGAAATCGATCCACAAAAAGCACAACGTGCTGAAATACAGTTATTATGAATTTTGCACATGTTGTGAGAAACATCTGTTTTTCAGCTAGCAATTTCAAGCTTTGTTTTCAAAATATTACTAGGTTAACTACCGTTTTATTTATATGCCAGAAAATAATTCACAGTAAGAAAAATCCACTTGCTGTTAGACTTATCATCAGTAATATACAACACTTAACTAGATTTGATATAGACAAAAAAACACAGGCGTTAGCAGCTACTCTTTTTGGGTTTCAGAGTAAATAATGGCTTGAATACAATTTCTGACTTGAATGTTACTCAACAGACTGTTACACAAATGGCTAAGCTAATGGCTACAGAATAAAGGTTAATGGCCAGAGAATAAACGATAAACGTTTTGGCACTTACCCAATAAAGAAGAGAAAGTGCTTTTTTATTAGACCGCAGTAGCTGAGGTAATAAAATTATTGATAACAGATTGCAGATTAAACGCCACTTGTAGGTTTTTATTGGAAAAGTATTAATGGCATATTTTCATTATCAGCTCTGCTCTTATTTACCTCTTGTGCAACATCCAAAGTGCTTCACAGGCAGAAGCTTGACACCTGCCCTGTGAATAATGTGTTAAATGCATCTATTATACGTGGAAACTGGAGGCAAGTAAAGGGTGGTGGGAAGCCAAAGCCTGACATACAGAGTCCCTGCTGTAGAGCTAGGAGAAGTAGTCCCAAGAATCTCTGTTCTGGCCTCCAGATGACAACCCTAAATAATGACAAGTTAATACAAAAACTGTAGTTTCTGCTTACCACCCCTTGGAGTAAATTATATTATTTTTTAATAAATAGCAATCCCACGATATAAATAGCAAATACCAAGTGAATGAACTTGGTAAACGCTTAGTATTTCAGAGATGTTAACTTATTTTATTTATCAATTACTTCAGTGAATGCCTTTTAACAAAACATTCCTAAGAGGGGGGGAAAACCCAAAAAAGTAGGTGATATGCTAAAACATCCCAGGTGTGTTACCACAGTAAACTTGCAGTTTGTGAAAAATGACATGTTAGGACCACGAATAAAAGGCAGGGGGGAAACAGGTCTCCAGGATGTTCCCCACCGTTCAGCCTCTCCCTGATCCACATATACTTGTGCACTAAAGCTGTCAGTCAGCAGCCTGCCTCTGCTAGGATGCGACCGCCTTTTGTATGAAGGAATATTTAAATTGCTTCCCGTGAGCCTTTTCAGCCTGCTATTTGACTAGCACTCCTTAACCAGTCACCAGAACCGGCTTAGATAGCCCCTATCTGCAGCCATTGTTTTCCAGGCCCAGGAGTGACCTTTACATTTTCAGAGCTGGCAGGTCACCCAGGGAGCTGGAGGACATTCCTTGGGCTCTGGGCAAGGTGCTGTCTCCTAGGCAGGGACCTACCAGTCTTTCCCAAAACACCTGGCTGGGGAGTTTCCCCCCTTCCTTGCTGCCTCCTGTCTCCCAGATGGGTGCTCCTCATCCCCGTCCTCATGGCAGGTACAGAGCAGATCTGGGGACCCAACTCAGCTGCAGATGGCTCCTGCAGCTGTTTCCTGCAGGCACTGGGCGTGCAGACCCACATGGGGCTGGGTGCAGAGTCCTGGCACCACACTGGCTTGAGGTGCTCCAGCACAGGTTAGGATTAATGACAACATGCACAGCACAGGTCTAACGAAGGCCCATCGTTGGCAGGCGTGAGGCTGCCAGTGCCTCCTCTTCCTCAGTGCCACGGGTGCTGCCTGCAGCCCACTCTGGTCCTCTGGGCCCTACCAACAGTCACACCTGGTGCCTGCAGGTTATGGTAAAGGCACAGTCCAACTATGACTGTGATTATTTGTCTTGGGAAAAGATACCGGCATTGTTTGGTAAAGTTTTTGTCTACTTTTTTCTGTCACTGCTTGCAATAGGGCAAGAGAAGCAAGAGTTGCTTTAATTTTCTAGGCTGGGTCTGTTGCCCCTGTTTAACTGAATGTCACAGTTTTCTGTCCCACTGCATTCTCCAGCTTTCTTCCCCAAAATGCCACAAATCCTGGACTTTTCCCACATGCCCAAGGTGCTGTGGTAATGTCAGGCACCAGGAGGATGCAACACAAACCTTAACATCTCAGGACAGCGCACAGAAAGTTGGGTTTCACCTAACGCAAAAGCAACCAAACCCTTGGGTTTTCACCTCACGCTACAGCCCACCTTTTTGAAGGAGCAGGAACAAACCTTGATTTTCCAGCCCTCTCCCTCTGACAAGGGATGGCCAGAAAAGTGGCAGAGCTGCACCTCTGAGCAGAAGCGGCCCAGGCGACCCCGAGACACCCAAACCCCCCCGGTGCTGCCCCGGGTACCCATCCCTGTGCTCCTGCAGCCCTGCCAGGGCCAGCGGCTGGGCGAGCACTGAGCTGTGAGCACAGAAATCTGAACCTTGCCAAAACGCTTTGGGGAAGGCACAGAAAGGAAACAGAAGAGGCAGCAAATCAGCAGAAGAAGGGGACACACACACACACACACACATCTCCTCCTCCTCTAGCTGGAGAGAGCAACAGACAGGAGAAAAGCAGGATTCTCCCCCCTCTCCAGCTGGCGTCACACCTCATTAGGGAAAAGCCTGTTTAACGTCTCTCCCTGCCCCCAGCCAGGGACTAAATCCCCCCCGGAGCCAGGCAGGGCTGCCGGGAAGCGGTGGCCGCTGGAGCAGCGGTGACCGGCTCCCCGGGTTACCCGGGGCAGGCAGGAGGGCACCAACCCTGCCCTCCCTGCTCCCTGGGAAAAGAGCTGGCAGGGGTGGGCTGGGGGAGAAGGGCCTGCCTGCCCCTCGCCAGGCACTCTGGCAGCTGTGCTGAGCCCCACCGGTGTGCTGCGGGTTGAGCCCAAAACAAACGCTGTTCCCCCAGAGCTGCTGTGAGCATGTATTAAAACCCACTGCTGTAGAACCATAGAAGGGTTTGGGTTGGAAGGGACCTTAAAAGATCACCTAGTTCCAAGCCCTCTGCGTGGGTAGGGACACCTCCCCACTAAACCAGGTTACTCCAAGTCCCATCCAACCTGGTATTGAATGCTTCCAGGGAGGGGGCATCCATAACTTATCTGGGCAACCTGTTCCAGTGTTTCACCATCCTCACAGGAAAGAACTCCTTCCTCGTATCACCCGCAGTTTATTGCAATTGCTACTTCAGTCTGCTCTTGCCAGCAACAAGTGCTGTGGCCTCTGGAAGTGTGGTGAGCCTCACCTCATGGTGACCTTGCATGAAACAACTCCTTTTCAGTATCCACCCACACTTTTGAGAGGAAAGATGATCAGTTCCTCAGGGAAAAGTAAACAAATGCATGCACAAATGTGACAGCAGTGACACCACCATCACCAGCAAAAGCGCAGAGGTGACACTGGGGCTGCCGCACGAGCTGGCTTTTTGAACTATGGCAAGCAGCCAGGCAGAGTCCAGCTCCTCACAAGCTGTCTCCTTGGAGGGTCGTGTTGCAAAGTTCGAGACCCTTGTTTTTGAAGACCCGCTCCTCCAAAGCTGCAGGGAAGCCCAGCATGTGCGGGAGCCTGGCATGAGCAGGCTGAATGCTGAAGTACAGGATAGCAGTTTAAACGCCTCCTCTGTGCTGGAGCTGAATCATCTATAACCAAATCTGATGGACATAACCAGTTTAAGCACAGCTAAGCCTTGTCCAAGTTAGCCATCAGTTTAAAAACCCCAATCCCTTCAGCTCTATTTCCATACCACTGCCATTATCAGCTTTCCATTGCAATGCTCCCCAGTGACTCAACAAGCTTTTGCAGAGGCTTTAGGAGATCACCAAAAGCTATGAGTGGGCCGTGCTGAGCCAGCCCCAGCCCATGTGCTGAAATTTCACTGCTGTCACTAAATTGAGTCAGGATGCTCTTTCCCCCTCACAGATCATTAATTACAACAGGTATCTGGGCAAGAGCTAGGTGAATTCATGCAAAAGAGTACAGTTACCAGGACTGGGCAGGAATCATAGAATGGTTTGGATTGGAAAGGACTTTTACGATCACATAGTTCCAACCCTTTCCTATGGGAAAGGACACCTTCTACTAGACCTGGTTGCTCAAAGCTCCATCCAGCCTGGTCTTGAACACTTCCAGGGAGGGGGAATCTACAGCTTTTCTGGGCAACCTGTTCCAGAGTCTCAGCACTATAACAATAAAAAAATTCTTCCTAATATCTAATCTAAATCTACCTTCTTCTAGTTTAAAGCCATTACCCC